TTTTTTTTACATATTTAATAATCTATAGCCGCTTCCCCCACCGATGAAAAGGTATATATCATATAACATTTTTTTCTTCTTATTATCTAAGCTTTGCATCCCAATAGGTCTCTACGACGCTCGAGTAAATCCCCATTTAGCATCGTGGGCTCCCCTACCATAGGGACAAACTACAAAGATTCTCGCCTCGACTCTGCGATAAGTTTACTCTAAGATTTGAAGCAGATACCTACTCAAATCTGCGCTTAGAACATCTATTGAAACTGGATTGATTATACCTTGCAATAGGATGCGTAATTTTTATTACTAATCATATACTATACTCAAGGTTTTGTCATATTTTTGGTACACGAAGTTAGTAATTTCGATGAATTATTTAAATCAATTAATCAGTTTTGAGTAACATAATTTTTTTATACTTTTGTATATTCTTCATGTAATAAAACACCATATAATTAAATTCGCATTTATTTCAATACACATTAATTACATAAAATATACAAAATAAACAATATAAATTAAAGCAATAAATTCTGTAACTGCACGTTGCGACACAAGACTAGACGCTGAAGTTAAGATATATTCATACCAAAACCGATTAATATTAATTATTGCAGCAGTTACATACATTGCTATCGTCTTAATATCCTATTATACCTACACATAATAATACTATAGAAAAATGCTATTCTATTGGCGACTGTACTCGTCAAAACTCTTGCCGGGAAATGTGTGCCCGAGCCAAAGGCTTAGCCCGAACTATGACAGTCGTATGTCAAAATCCAAAATACTTTTGACGTTTCTGTAACGACGTAAAGAGTCGAGTAGCGCTAAGTATTGCCAGTATTTTAAACGTATTGCACTTTGACATATGTACGGGAGTCCTAAATATTCGTTTTTTATTCGCTAAATAGTAAGTAATTTGATACGAATGTGTACTCTGTGAAAACCGAAGATCAAGACGAGTGCGAACAGCCGACATAAGAGTCTATGCTTTGGTTGGTATCATTGACGAATCAGCAATTATATTAATTAAACTTAAGGTTGTATTTGCCACTTTTACAATTTCTATAGTATTATTAGATCGTGCCTCTGTTTCACATTATATCCAAAGTCATTACTGACTTTAAAACGCGGGTACGTAATATGTATGAAAAAATATCCTAGCCAACGGGGTGCGGTATCTTGATTTTTTTGTACTTTATCAAACTCGTGGTTCTAAGAGTTATCTAGAATAATGTTTACTACGCAGTGTGAAATTCGATCTCAAAACGAACAGAACAGATACTATTTAATGTCGCGAAATAATATTTATTTAGCTTCGACATCTTACAACAATCGAGTATATTTTTCAGTAAAATGGACACGAAAATCGAATAAAAATGATTTATAGTTCAAATTTCACATTGACGTAAATTGTTTTTGAAAGATAACGAGCTCTATGAGTGAATTCGTCTTCACTAATGAACTATCTGTGAAACAGGGCCTATACAACACCTTAATCTGTAGATAAAATCCATTCCAGAAACATAAAATTTCGTAAATAAAAAAAAATCCATATTCGATATTGCAAAGCTAAACTATTCTACACTGTACATTTGGTCAAACGCAATATACAATACATTTGTACATTAATTTCAACGAAACTAGATTCGCTTTAAAATGTTTACGAGTTAAACTATACACGATATTTACATAGGAATCCCGCTGTTGCTTCATTCCTCATATCCGGCAGACATATTTCTGCGCCAAAAAGTAATTTTTACTATTATCTCTACGTTTCTTAGAGTAATATTCAGAGTAAGACTATCGTATATCAAAATCCAATACATTTTTGACATACGAAAGTCATGCTTAAGTAAACGTACAGATACCGCCAACATCTTGAACATTAAACAAGGGAGTGGGGGACACAAACGTCAACTGCTATACCAATAACGCGATCGACACGTCACACTCCCGCAGCCGCGCATCACCGCCCGCCGCCCCTCCCAGTGATTCCTAAAAATCGCTTCTGCGCAGGCAAGGACATTTGTTCAAGATGTATGCCGGTATCTGTAAGTCGCATGACAAAATAGATAGCAATAAAAACGTCTTTTACGAATTTCCGCGTCGGAAAGTTATAACTATTGTGTCCCCATTTTAACTTCGCGTAAGTAATAAATAAATTACTAAATACATCGCAACGAGCTTGCTCTCTTATTTTCGAGTGAAAGATTCTTCGCAGAATTTTTACCCCAGTTTGCGACGACATATTCGCTACATTAAAGAACTTTATAACAACCTTGACGACGCCAACATCGTCCAATTCAAAAGCAACAGGCACTAGTGATTGGGATATGTGTCTCCTTACTGAAATCACAACCTGGTGGAAGAGAAAACCTGGTGGAAGAGAAAACCCGGTAGGCCGAGGCTGCGTTGATGGGATGGAGTTGTCAAGGACCTCGAAACCATAGGGGATCCAAGTTGGACGCAAGCACTAAATATATTAAGATGGCGAAATATACTTGAGGAGTATTGGGGCCATTGATGAATGAAATACATCGTAAGGAAATATTTTTGAGTATAAATTAAAAAGATAGTAAGTATTTCTTTTTCTACTCCCAAAAGCAAATATTAATCTCACAGTTATAAAAAGAGCAGAACCTCGTTACTATTAAAACGTATATAAACAATCGATTGTACTGCGTATTTCTACCGGTGACGTCATCTCCCAGGAATCGATCTCCGGGATAAAGCCTACCGTACTACAATCTCAAAAAATTCACCCACATCCGTTCAGCCGTTCTACACATCCAAACTCATATATTAGTTATACAAAATTCTATGTCACTTTTACAGTGCGTTTTTTATATACATTCTTAACCTAAATAAATTACAGAAAAACTGTCGCCAACTATGAAAGATTGAAAAAATTGAAAATCACTAGAAATTGGGAAAATAAACGTAAACAGGTATATCTGGACTAAACGAGCTTGTTGCCATGGTTACCATGTTTGTAGATGCTTATTAATGAGACACTTCAAACACGAAATTGTCTAACATTGATCAGTGAATTACTGAAAACAGAAACAACACTTAGCCCGAACTCACACTTCTCTATCTATCTAACATCTAATAAAACCTAACCTAACTCTTTGCCACGATTTATTCTATTCAAGAAAATTTTTTATGAATATATATTTATTATACTGTAGTACAAATTTGATTTCTGTAGCACTTTACAAATTTTTTGTCCACATTTAGAGCAAAAACTTTTTTTTAAGTAAACGTTAGTCGCTATACTGTTTGAAGACAATCCATTTCATATATGAAAAACGTCGTAACCATGGTAACAACAATAGTCCATGGTATTTAAGGGCGATTGTAACTTAGAAAGATTTATACCAGGACAGATAGAAGAAAGCAGTAATAAACGTGCCTTTAGTATTTTGTCATTTTTATACAACTGTGATACTTAAGACTTATAAAAAAAGTATTAATTACAAAAAATCTAGTAATTTTCAATCCGTTACTTAATCTACGCGAAAATTCAATCTTTTTCGATAAAAGCGTATACGTTCCTCGTCTCAAAAGCCAAACATTAACATTCTATGCCCGGATTCCGCAAAATACCAATCGTATTGGCTACGAGTGGATTTTATCGAATTACGACACGTAGCCATTACGACTAGTTCTCTGAACTTTAGGGATCTTAACCAGCACAATAGTGGTTAAGCTACGGTTTCCTAGAAAAGCGGTGCCGTTAACTAACGGCCGTCTTTACGGTGGTCATGCTGTGGATTCCTAGAAAGTAGCGCGACCGTATTCAATGGTAGTCACTCAGTACTCACTCGAGCGTTAGGCCGTGGACTGGTGAAAAATGGACGATTAGAACATAGCATTATTAGTATTTTTGGATGATGAAGAGTCATCAGAAGACGAAAAAAAGCGTTTGGAGGAGAACTGCTTCACAAATTTTGCTTCATCTGAGCTTGTCTGTACTCTTTGGATTTGATATTGTACAAAGCTTCATGATTTTTAACAAAATCAACTACTGTTTATCACCGCTATGACAGCCGTCATGCAAATGACAGCACCGCTATTTGACGTTACGGTGACACTCAACGTTCTCTAGAAAACCTACTACGATGTTATTTATAGACAACGTATGGGTAACGTCACCCAACGTTACATTACGGCCGTAAGATAACGGCACCGCTTTTCTAGGAAACCGTAGCATTGTATTAATTTCTTATATGTGGTAAGAGGACCATTTAAATTAATTTAAATAACCCTAAATGGCACTTCATAAGATTATTACTTTTGTGCTCATTTTTCAATATTATAAGTTTGGTGATTTATGCTATTTATGAAGTGAAAATCTTGGGCTCATTAGTTTTATTGACTGCATATTAAAGCTGGAAAATTATGAAATATACTTGAAGTACTCTTTACCATATTGACACGCGGTCAATTATCACAAAAATACAGTTTGTATTTGAGAATTGTGATAATTAATTGCGTGAAAATATTCTATGAATTAATAATTTTAACGCAAATTCTCAAATTACAAAAACATCAATATAATCATTTATGTAACAATAATTGCGCGATGACCTAAATATATACGACCAATATCTTACTCGGGAAACAAAAGCATGGTTTTATTTAGTCATAACAAACTTCAAACAAAAACCTCAAAATGACACCTGCCACTGTCAAGTCTTAAACTTATACGTCCTCAGAATAAAGATGGACTGAAGGAGCCCGTGTCTGCTGCAATATTTTCCACGTACAAAAGTATTTCTTTTATAATAGAAAAGTTCATTAAAACCTTGTGCGTGTAAAGTTTGACTCTTCCGTCTATTTATTTGGAAAGCGACACGAGAGCGATAAAGACAAAACATTAATTTACGAGTCAGGATTAACAGCATGCCATATTTCCCATTTGTACTCAACTAGCAAGCAATATTCCTTCGTTTCATATCCATTTTCCGTGATTCAATTATGTCCGTGTGTTAGTCCGCGGGTCTTGGCGGTGGCGCACGGGGCGGTAACGGCGACGCTGGAACGGACCAACTTTCGCTCGTTCCCCATCTATGTATAATATTTCTTATTACTTTAAAACGTATTTTCTAACAATAATGAAATAGAGACAAACTTATATAGGCGAAATTATATTAAAGATACGGTTTGTGATTAGCATAGAGACGCTGTTGTTGTTAATCAAACGACTCAAATCCTTTCAATTTTCATAAGTAAAATATACTACCGTGACACATTCAGTAATACCCCCTATAACGCGTTTTCGTACAACGCGATTCTGGTACCCCATATAACACGATTTTTCCTCCTTTTAACGCGGAGATTTCTCAAGTTTAATTTCTGTAGAGTGAAATTTATAATGATTTGTCAAGTATATAATTAGTTTTGCGTAAACTAAATAACTTTATTAAATACCAGTTTTTAGTTTTTGAAATGTCAAAAAAACGGTTTTTCTTTTTCGATAATACTCCTCAGCGCGATTTCCTATAACGCGGTAGACCCGGACTGCGTTATAGGAGGGATTACTGTATATGATAATACATATTATAATATATACATCAAGGGAGGATCTATAGTCCCTTAGTACATTAGACGTTTACCAAACCATTTGTATCATTATTTCTTCAAATATAATCTAAGAAAAAATACTAATTTTTTATATAAACAGTATTAAATAAAAGTAGGCGTTGAATCCGCCTTTCTTCAAACAAATGTCCTAAATAAAGAACATTATCATTAAAATACATACCGCGTGGCAGCTGTGTGGTGCGCGTGCGGTCTGTCCCTCCTCGCTGCAAGATGATGCCATTTGACGTATCCGCTGAGCCGGCGCTTCACCAGCCCGGCGAGCGAGTGCAGCCAGCCTACACCCCACGATCAAGCTTAACCCCTCGCCCACGCTGCCCACTCTAGGCTGCTCTTTGGCTGTCTACTGGCGTTTTAACTTAACCGGGTATATTTTGTGTGTATGCTGTTAGCTTTGAACGATTTAACAGCTCAACCGAAAGTTTATACGGCGTTCTAGAATATTCTTTATATGGCAATTTATTAATGAGAAACCTTTGACCACAGAGTGATTATAGATACAAACATTTGACGCTACAATTAAGTATAGTACTAGTAGTTATACGTATAGAAAGTATACGCGTATACGTATAACGTGCACCTTTTAATATGATTAAAATAAATTAATTATCTGGTGTATATTTCAAAACCGACCAGTGATATTTACTATTTTCATTTGTTTTCGACAACCAAAGAGTGTGCTAGTACTGAACCATATGCCTTGCTGGTGTGAAATGATGAGCAAAGCGTCCAATTGTGATGAGCTACCATACACCACGCTAAGCTTTATAGGTATTGGACAATCCAGCAGTTTAAGTTGGAGCGTTTAATATGTAGAGCATTTCGTTCAGACATCAGTATTATATTATTCATAAATTAATTTTAAGATTTTTGTATAATATCATTTTGATATCGCGCACTTTATAGCTAGTGGATTGTCTAACACATTCTACAGCTTAAAGCTTTGTTCCCGCCATCGAAACCATTATTAGCATGGTGTTAAGGTCGTGTTTAGTGTAGCGAGGCATGTGACAGCACGGATGGCAGGCGATGGGCGTGAGGAGAGCGGCAAAGCAAAGGAATATAGCGAGAATGTTTGAACATAGTTGTAATTTTTTTTAATTAATAAGTGTACTATTATAGTTCAAATATACTCGCAACACGGATTAACATCAATAGTTACATTTAAATATTAACTCTAAGTGTCCAGACCACTTTAAAGACGATTATAGAAATTCTAATAATGAGAAATGTCAAACAATTTATGAAAAAAATTGACAGACCTCAAAATACAACAATAGCGTGTTTATCACAATCTTGTCTTGAGAACTATCAGAGATGGTTTCATAGCTCTTAAGACTAGTGTGAGTCACGCTTAAAAATAACATCTATCTATCAGTAATTATGTAATAGACATTCAGTATCGCTAAACCTGACTTTTGTCTGTTTGCCAGTGACCATAAATCCCCTTAAAATTATATAAAACTGTCCTCTTTCTCTCTTACTCTATGGTTAAGAATAAAAACAAAAGAGTTAAGCATGGCTCTTTTAAATCGTAGTCAATCAAATAGGCTATTTCACATGATGAAAAATAAACTGTTATTGAAATCAATAAAAAATAGATAAAAGGGTGCGACACCATATGTCTTAGAACGTTTTTTCAGATTCTTGACATTATGAACGTTAAATTAAAATATTTATTCATTAAAATAAATAAACCAGTGACGCTACAACTTTTTTAGTGTTAGGCTTCAGATTTCTGTATCTGTTTCATGATAATTTGTCAATCTAATAGGCAAGTAGTTGATCAGCCTCCTATGCCTGACACACGCCATCGACTTTTTCAAGCCGGTTTCCTCACGATGTTTTCCTTCGCCGTTCGAGCGAATGTTAAATGCGCACATAGAAAGTCCACTGGTGCAGTCGGGGTCGAACCTACGTACTCAGGGATGAGAGTCGCACGCTGAAGCCACTAGGCCATCACCGCTCTACATAAAAGACAATACTTAACAGAAATAAAAGTAACAATTTGTATAGCTTCCATAGACAAAAAATAGTTATTAAATAATTCTTGTCAAATAGCCCATTAATTTACCGAAAAAGATAACAATAGCCCTCGATTTCAAAGTGCGAATGAAGTACGCAAGAGTAAGGGAGACAGCTATACTTCCCACAGCTAAAGCACAGCTGCGTTAAGCTTAGAATTGCATGGCTCAGCTGTCAGATCCTTTTATTTACATGATATAAAGGAAAATTTAGGAAATAATATAAAATTATATGAATGAGCGAATATTTGGCAAATTAATTCAATAGGTTAGGGAGCGTTAAAGTATTACGTCACGCATTTTTTTAAGATTATTGACCCCCCCAACCCCCTCATGTAACGCGCCGTAACGTTTTTCTGTACCCAAGTATAGTAAAACGTAGCAAAGGACCCCTCTCTAAAATTTGTTACGTAATACTTGAACGCTCCCTTAGACATTTTTTATATTTTTCTTTAATCTAATTTTGTATAATTTGCCAAACATTAAAAATGAATAGAGTGGCAAGCGCAGCATTTGATAACACAGACACAAATTATAGGCTGGCTGCCCTCGGTACATACATACATACAACATGTAAATCGTGAAAAAATTAATATAAACAACAAAATATAGAACTATGTCATATGAGATTAAAATATATAAATTATAAATAAATTCCTATTTTTAATAAATTTTTAGTAAGGTGAAACACGTTTTTATTTTAAATTAAAAAAAATTAAGAAACTTTTTTTTTCTCCTATTTTAAGTATCCCCCATTGGACTTATACATAAATTCATTATATTATTGTTATAAATTTGAAGACAATGAGGAGTATATATATTACCTTGGTCATCGTGATGATGTTTGTGCGTATGCGCAGGCGCAGGCGCAGCTATTTCCGCGCGGAACCCGTTGCGCAGCTCAGCCCGCGTTAAACTCTGACTTCGTCCTTCTGATAACCTGAAATAATTATATTAAAAGATATACAACCCAATAAACCTAAAAAAATACTTTATCCTTAAATAAATGGCGATTAGTAATGGATTTTTTTATCATGTACATTAATGTAAAGATATGTTAGAGCCCAGATTGTGACCCGGTTTTGTGATCGATTCTCGTGGACTAGGTGGCTACTACTAAAAATTATTTATGAAATATATCTGTCCTCCCATATATTCCCTATTGGTGGGCATGGGACGGACTACTAACAGGACTTAAAACAACTGATAAAGGCACAGAATAACATATGTACACAGAGTGAAGAAAGGAAGTGTAATTGCAACTACAGTGTAAACTCTTTATAACGAATTTCAAGGGACTGATTTTTTTTCGTTATAGAGGGTTTTCATATAAAGATGGAGTGATATGGAGTGAAGAGAAAGAAAAACAAAAACAAATTTAAACAATTACAATAATTTCTAGTTTTATTATTATCAATTATGGTAAATTATTCTGTTTACTATGCCTGACGTGTTTGGCTATGCCAATATTTATTTTGTATTTTTTTGAGTATTTTGTCTGGCCATCTTGACAGTTTGTTTACGAATAATGGCACACGAGTTAATGCAATTAACAATAACAAAGGCGAGACGGCTGTTTATGACCTCAGGTGTCTTTCTTAGAAATTTCGGCACCTCAAAAGGTGAGTTTTGTAAGCTGATTATAAAAAAATTACACTTAAGTTTGTCAACAATGTCTAAATATGAAAATTTCCTCGTAGCTGTTGCGTTATAAAGAGTATATTAATGTATGGGTTTTGTGTTAAACCAAACAAAAATAACTCACTTTAACGTTATATAGAGTGTTCGTTATATTGAATGCCGTTATAAAGAATTTACACTGTATCTAAAAATATTTAGGGCTATGAGTGTTTCATGGTCTTACCTATCGTTAAGCAGTAAGGGCGACGGTGGGTGCAATCTATCGTGTAAGGGAGGTGGTTCTAATTCCATACTGCCGTTCACTGGAATTGTCAACACAAGTACTCATTAAAATGGTTTTAAAAAAGTCCTTTGGATCTGCAAGCTTTCATAAACATAAACTTCATAAACGTCAAAAAAATTAAATAACTCAAAATTTTAGAGAAAAACTGGCAAATTTTTCGTTTCCGAAGATCTGACTAAAAAAAGTCATGTGTAAAATAAAACATAAAGATTCATACATATTATACACTTCTTTAAATATATGTATTGATAAAAAATTCGAAAAACTAATATAATAAATACAATTCAAATTTCAGGTAAATAAGTTTGAGGAAACTTTTATTGAGATTAAACTTTTATAAAACGAGGGTAGGGTCAAATTGAGGGTAGTTTCAAATAATACATACCATGCGGCCTTGTGTGCCGGGAGGTCCTTGGCGGGGGTTCTGGAGACCTTCCGGCGCTGTGCTCACGACTAACACTAAGTATAAAAAATATATATACTTTCAGAAACAAAATTTGAATTAATTAGAATTTTATTATATCTTCTTATCGTAAGTCACAATTTGACAGAAAGCACTTTTTTATACCTTCTATGCCTCGGAGTGGCGTGCAAGTCCACTCTCGAACGCCGCTGTTGACTCTGATGATAAAACCTTTGCAGAACTATGGGACTAGTGTTGCCAGAACTCTGTAAATATTATTGCCATATAAAAAAATCTATCCTAAAGTTCTAAAACTAAGACAATATTGTTTAAGATATACTGTCTTTACCCCTTTGTATAGTAATCAATTTTATTTTAATATTTTATAACTATATAAATACGACATTAATTTAATTTTAAACAAAATCTTAGTTTTAAAATATCTGCAATAAAAAAAAATCAAATGGCGCACACATGATGTTAACAGCTAGTACATAATACAAGATATAAAATTCAACCAACCGTTGGCGATGCTCTCCATCTATTATCTGTGGACACTCGCCTCACGGGGGCAGGTGGAGGTGACGCGCATGCGTCTATTGTTCTGTAATATTCATTGATTCAAATCATTATAGCATACATTATGCGATAATTAATTAGTAAAATATTACTTCATAAAAACTAAATAATAAAATATAAAATAAAGAATTAAAATAGAAACAAACATAAATGTACTACATAATTTTTGCAAAATATCTAATATAAAATTCTCGTGTCACAATGTTCGTTTCCATACTCCTCCGAAACAGCTCGACCGATTCTTATGAAATTTTTTATGCATATTCAGTTAGTTTGAGAATCAGCTACTATCTATCTTTCAGACCCCTAAGTGATAAGGAGTGTCCACCCCAAAAAAAAAAATTTAGTTTTTATTTTTTTATGATACAGCATACAAAAATACATACAACCCTTAATTTTCACCCCTCTACGATCAACCCCTAGTTTTTATTTGTTAATTAAAATCTTATGACTTGAACTCTGAGGTGTATATAGAGAATAAATCACAGAACCTAAAAAGTTTTCATTCCAGAAAACCGAACAATCTAGGGTAGCATAGCAAAATGTTCCATGTTGGTATGTACTAAAAAGGTAGGCTACGCATTAAGGAGAAAAGAAGTTCGCGGGGGCAGTTAGTATTATTATTATTAAAAAACAAGGATGTTTTTATTCTATGGAAATGATTTTGTGACAATCTTAGTAATACTCGTTTACATAATTCAACTTTCCTGAGATAGATCGCAAAAACCATTAAGATAGTTTTAGTTAAGATTGTAAATCTACCGAATAATCATAAAAGTTAATGCGACAGTTTAAAAACAAATGAAGATTGGTAAAAATCTCCGTTTCACAAATTTCTGCCAAAAGAGTGGTAATTACTTATTACGTTCTAGACATTCGTCAAAATGTGCCATCGTAATGTGCGGTTAGTGTGTCGTCCGTAATTATGTTTAAATAGTGAAACTATCGTAAAACGCTTTTGTTCTTCAGTCTTATTATATAAATTACTGTAATGTAACATTTCTTATTTTTTAATTATTTACACTAAATACACAACAACAATGATTAATTCAACAAAAAGGAATTAAATACATGTCATTTGACATATCTATGTATATATTTGTATACGTAATGAAGTTAGCATCCTAGTAATAATAGCATTACCTTCTTAACAGGGGCAAGCGATATATTAAACGTAATGATAGAGTGAAAATAATATCCTCCATTAAATTATTTAAAGCATTCCGTTGGCCCAGGAACGGTACATTTCAGAAATTGCAACTATATATTGTGTGTCCCTTTTGGAACTGTTAAATTCTTAACTTTTCGATAGTAAAATTCTATTAAATGCTGTGGATAAACACAAATAAAATTACTTGACATTTAGTGTGCTTGCATTTATGAGTGTAAAGAAGTATGATTAAATTGGTCAAATACTATTAACTAATATTTTACGTAAATAAAAAATACCTTCTCCTAGGGTACGGTGAGTGGTTTGCGAGTTCAGCCTCTAAGCTAGTTGGCTGTGAGCTACTTCCCCCGGGACTGGCATTGTTCGCCCACCACGCTCTGAAATGGCATATAATATCAATTAATTATTAATCAGATTTCTGTATGTGTTTCATGATCATTTTTCAATGTAAGACATCGTAAGGAAAACAACTGAAAACCCAAAAAACTACGGTGTGTGCCAGGCACAGGTCACCTACTTGCCTATTAGAATTTAAAAAAGGGTGCGTGTACTTATGTACGCGCGTAAGAAGTTATACTTCTTTGGCTTTCTTTATTTTTTTAACATATTAAATAATTAATAATAAATGTTTAACGTTAATAATTTATTAATATTTAGTATATTATTCAATTATTAATTAATATTAATAGGTCTTTGTGAAAAAGCATTCCTAAATTCACGCATATTCTATTTCTTTTTACTTGTAGATTGTCTTATTCCCATCTCGCTCGCGCACGCTCGGCGTCCGGCTTTAATCACACTGATAATTTTGTGTCACGGTGCGCGCGCATCGTAAAATTTCACTCTCATAAATTTTTCATAACGCGCCTAAAGAAGTATAACTTCAAAAATGATCATAAAACAGATACATAAATCAGAGGCCTAACCTAACCTAAAAAGGGTGTAGCGCGGTGATTTTTTATTTAGTGTGAACTGTAGTATTGTGGAAACCGTTTGTAACATTCATGTTACGCCTTTGATGTGATATTCCAGATATAGTAATGTACATTTCATGTTCAATTATGATTTTATAATGAAACTTATTAAATAATAAAGATTTTTGAAGTTATACTTCTTTTGGCTCGTCAGGGTAAAACGATGAGCGTACATTTATACGATACGCGCGCACACCGTCACAAAAAACCGACACACTGAAGTAAGCTATAGCCAACATTTTAGTTAAATTTTATCTTGTTACGCCAAAGAAGTATAACTTCTAACGCGTGTACATAAGTACACACACGTTTTATTTTTTTACAAATTATATTTATTCTTTCATTTACATTTAGGCAATTTTCCATAATGTAAATTGTCATCAATGCGGTAAAAATTTGTACAATACCTTGCAGGCGTTGGCGTGACTTGTTCAGGCATCCAATGCTGTGAGCTGGTGACAAAATTCCTAACAGGTTGAGGGGTCACAGGCCCATCACCATTATTCACCGATAAACTGGATCCAGCCTTACTTGACCCACAAATAAATAATGTGGAATACCAATCTCCAACTGAAACGGAACTTCTGGCTGACTTCACAACGAACGGGTGTTCCAGGAGTTTCGCGTACTTCGGGCGCTGTCTGTAGTTCTTTGTTAGGCTGAAAAATTCAGAAAATATGCGTTAATTACTTAGCCACGGTGGTCAAATATAAAGGTTTTAAATTATTGCATAGATTTTATCGCGGGCTTTGAGCGCGGCGACCGAATTCTGTAAATAAAACAAAACCTAACACACGATGACGTAATATAGGTGCGGCCAATAGGCGTTAGAGCGGGACAGAACGCATACTGCGTCTCACATCGGTCTGGCGTGATCGGTGACGTAGCGCAGGTGCGTTAGAGTGGGACAGAACGCATACTGCGTATTCACATCTCTCCAACGAGATCGGTGACGTAGCGTAAGCGCGGTCGGTGCAGCCGGTACGCGTTACAGTGAGACAGACTATATAGGCGTGTTTTTTTTTAAATATATGTGTGTGCAACTTACCACTGAGACACAAATGATTTGAATTCTGGTGTAAATTCATTGCCTTCAGGTAGTTTTGGTGGATCGTCTGCTATTACCTGTAATAGTTTTCTATTATTATAAATAATTCTTTAGCTTAAATTGAATTGAATTCTACGGAATTAAAAATCAGAGTATAGGTGATATTTTTTCCTAGTCGGCCTACTTTAGGTAGGGGAGCCCAAGAGGGATTTCGGGATTTACTAAAGCGCGGCAGATTAATATATAGGGGGGATACCTTGTACCCGGTTAAGTACCTCCACAAAATATGAGGCCCATATATAAGGCCGCACGTGAAGGAGACAGGATCAGTTTAGTAAAAAAAAATTGACCATCAGAAATTCCCGAGCGCGTCAGATTAAGGTAGGGTGAGTTAATTACATCCTAAAAGTGTATATTCCACTAATCTGACAATTTGAGAGTGACGGAAAAAAGGGGAGGGCAACAAAGTTGTAAAAAAAAACGTCATCTCGACATTCTCGAGCGTAGCTAATTTTTTTTTATTTTGAAGGAAATAATTCAAGAATAATGAAAAATATATAATCTGACGATTTCCGCAAGCCGAAATACCAAAAATTCGTCGATAAAGTTAAATGCGTGCAGCTGCGTGATGCCTACATTTCCTTAAACCGATCGGAATCTACTAAACGGCGTTCTAAATATTTCCCTCAAAATTACATTTCCTGTGAATTTGAACCGATTCGGACCGATAGATTTTGAGAAATTTTGAAAAATCTTAAAAAAATAAGAAATATTTTTTTTTAAAGTGGTTTCTTTATCGATCAACTTCAAAAACTAATCCGCCTTTGAGCTTGAAAAACCACGTCGATCGCCACCAAGCTGGTCAAAAGCGATTGATTCGTTCGAGAGATATCGTACACGAAAGAAACCCGAAAAAGTGTTTTTTCGGGATTACTCCGAAATTTGTGGTTCGATCAATTAAAATTGCAAAATTACTTATGAGAATGATAAAACTGCGTCGAATGCCGCCAACCGCGTGAAAATTGCTTGATCCATTCAAAAGTTATTGCGGTTTGAAAATTCCAAAAATAGTGTTCTATGAAACTTCTATCAGACTTTCGAGCTGGGAGAGCTCAAATGCATAGAAATGTTATTTCTTTGAACTCAGCGAGCTCAAAATATCAATTTTAAGCGCCCAGGAATGGAATTAGCGGGAAGTTGCAGGGATGGCCCTTTAGGTGAACCGTTTTTCTATTATTTTTTTGTCAGATCAGGCGAATCCCTCTAGATAATCGTCAGATTATGAGACAGTACGTTTAGAACATAAAGTTGAACCACATATATCTTAATCTGACGCGCTTGAGTATTTCAAAATTGCGATTTTTTTTGCAAATTAAGAAAATGGCTGTGGGTTTGCGTCCCATCGAAATCGTCAGATTAGTGAATGAGAGCTTTTTTTTTTGGTGCACTTAACACTCCCTTAGAAAATCTGACGCGCTCGATAAATTTTTTTTTTTTTAATTTTCAACCCTTAAATACAACCACCCGCATCATGCAAACGATCAGATTAACATACGTACATTATTAAAAATACGTAGGGCATAGATGCTATCAATATCTGACGCGCTCGAGGATGTCCATGCAACAGTTTTTTTTTACATATTTAACTATCTATAGCCGCTTCCCCCACCGATGAAAAGGAATTTATCATATAACATTTTTTCTTCTTTTTATCTAAGCTTTGCATCCCAATAGGTCTCTACGACGCTCGAGTAAATCCCCATTTAGCATCGTTGGCTCCCTACTTTAGGTACAAACCCACCATTGACCAAATGTGATATAATTCTTTCTCTACATGTATTTTTTTACTATAAAATGGGATTTTATATTTTCTTTAAAAACTAGGGCCCAGCTAGTATAAAATATAACTGATCTTAAAAAAATCATTGGCGCTACATTATTTTTAGGTCTGGGCCTCAGATTTCTGTACCTGTTTCATTATCATTCCCAATCTAATAGGCAAGAAGGTGATCAGCCTCCAATGCCTGTCACACTCCGTCCACTTCTTGGGTCTAAGACAAGCCGGCTTCCTCACAATTTTTTCCTTCAACGTTCGAGCAAATATTAAATGCCCACATAGAAAGAAAGTTCATTGGTGCTCAGCCGGGGTTCGAACCTACGACCTGAGGGATGAGAATTGCACGCTGAAGCCACTAGGCTAATACTGCTCCTGATCTGATAGACATAGGCAATATACATACCCTGGTGAGTACTTCGAAGTCATTCTGGCAGTCCCGGTAAGGAAACACTCCAGTAGCGAGTTCCACCAGCGATATGCCCAAAGACCAAACGTCAGCACGAATATCGTAGTCTGGTCTAGTTGGGTCTGGCGGGTCTATTCTTTCTGGCTGTAATGTAATGAAATACAGGGTAAACTCTATATAACAACGTAACACAGAGTTGTCGTTAAATGGGTAGAAAGAAAATCTGTATTAGAAAAAGAAAAAGTTTATTTTAGACTAGTGTTAGTAATTACATAGAAAACAATTCTTATTTGAACACTATTGCGTCTCTTATTTTGGTGTGACGTCTTTTGCTGCATCAGTTTTTAATTATTTAATTCATATCTTGCTATGTTGAGTCATCTTCGTGATAAAGAAAATACTTTTCCAATAACTGCGGAGGTTCGTTAGGTTAGGTACGTTCTTTTGTCGCTTTATGGTCCTCCAATAAAGCTACAAAAGAAGACAAGACAAAAGAAGCACACAGCTCTACAGTTTTAACTGAAATTAGTTGAAATAACTTGAAAAGTACTTTTTATTATTAGGTCCTTACATATGAAATTGGCGTATTTCGTACTGGCCACTTTAATCACGATGTTCTCCTCTTTGGTAAGGAATTCCAAATTCAAATTTGTACAGCTATTTACTCATGTATTTGTGCTTCGATGACCTTCCTTCATTTGTTTTTTTCTGTTTGCGTCACTCATTTTACAAAATGGAAAACTTAAAGTATCGCATTATTTACGAGTACGAGTTCCGCCGTGGCACTAGTGCTGCGTAAACGACTCGAAGGGTGAATGATGTGTATGGCGCGGTCATGTTGCAAAAGAAAACACAGTTCATTTTTGGTTCCAACGTTTTCGTGCTGGAAATTTCGACCTGCAGAACAAGCCCCGTGGACGGCCTGAGACCCAAGTTGATATTGAAGTATTGAAGGCTATTGTGGAAGCGGATCCATCGCAAACCACGTCCGAGTTAGCTGCAGGACACTGTATGGATAAACAGCAAATAAAAGCTAACCTAACCAAAGACGAGTGACTTCGACGCTTTAGGGGGTTTGTCGTTAAATCGAAGGACATTACATGGACTTTAAATTGTACTCGTATAGTGTTCGGATGAGACAAAAAATCAAATATCCTAAACGTGAAATTGAGCACAAATTATCTATGAAATATTAAGACGCAGGTACTATTCAGGGTTTGACAGTTGAAGAGCCTCTAGTGGAATTTTTACATGTTTAATAGCTTCAAAATTATTAATTATACATCTTTTGCACATGTACAAAAATTTATCTCTTGTAATTCCCTTTCAGAAATGGAAAAGAAGTTGTTTTAAATATATTTAAATTAACCATTATATAAATATATATGATTTACTGTTATTATATATATCTTATGTTCTCTTATTATTATGAGATATAGATATGTTATGTAACATATTAATAAATACAATTAAAAACCTTAAATATAAGTATCCCTTATAAAATCATTTTCAATTTGAAAACATTGTTAAAAAATTCAATCTTTTCTAAATTAATAATATAAAATGGTATGTTACAAAATAATTTTGTTTATATATTTTGAACTAACTGTTTAGGATATGAGCACGGCTTCTTCAATTTAAGTAAGTTAGAATGTAACATATACACAAGCAGTGGCGTAACAACAGGGTGGCAGGGCTGGCAAATTGCCACGAGCCCTCGACCCAAGAGGGCCCCTGCCCAAGAGATATTATGTTCTATGGATGAATGTGAAGTCTCCAATACGCATTAGGCTAGCCTGGGGACTACAGACCTTTCCCTCTCGCCTAAAGAGGAGTCCTATGGCCATTACAGGACTTATTAAATTATTATTAAAATTAAACTGAGTACAACGTGACGATTTTAACTGATAGGGCCCCATCAAAAGAATTTGCCACGGGCCCCATATGGTATAGTTACGCCACTGTACACAAGTAACATATGAGACTTACAGCCATATACGCCGCACATCCCGCGCTGCGTGTCTTCGCCTTGGAGTCCACGAGTCGTCCACTGATACCAAAATCACACAACTTGACATTCCCACGCTCGTCCAACAGAATATTGCTCGGCTTAACGTCTCGGTGAATCACACCGTGTGTGTCTTTCAGGTACGATAAGGCATTAACAGTCTGAAATGAATAATTATTGTTAATAACCAGACATCTTGGGCGATATTTATTTCATATATATATAATATGTCACCGTAAAATTGTAAATACCGTTAGGTTGTAATCTATCTCGCGAGATTGTCAACTGTCGAAAGATTGTACGTTGAGGTTCATTAGGCTCGCGAGATAGATTACAACCTAACGGTATTTACAATTTTACGGTGACATATATAAAGTATAAATTGCATATATGGTTGCCTAAAAGTGAATGTTACGTAGCAATCATAATTTCCTATTGTGTTGATTATTTTGAGCTTCAAATTGTTTGCTATAATTAAAGTGTTAAAATGCGTTTCAATTGATATAAAAATTCATATAAGCTATTCATAAAACTTTTACACACATACACAGTCTTTTGTTTAATTTAAAAAGACAGCAAAGAAATAGTATTGGTTATAATATATAATCCATAGAAGATCCAAAAAAGAAGATACAATAACTTACAGCAACAGTAACTTTTCCCAAAATCGCTTCTGGTATTGGTGCGCCAAGCCTCTTTAGCAATTTATCAAAGCAAGAAGCCATCAACTCCATACATATCCAGACATCAGCATCAGTAACAAAACAACCAAGGCACCTCACAATATATGGGCAATCATGTGATCTCACTACAACATCTAAGTCCATTAAAATTCTTTTGGTTTCTTCAGAGTTGCCCGAGCGACGCATTTGCTGAAATTCATTTGATAGTTAAATTGATTGGCTGATTAAATTCCTACAGTATTGACCATATATGTATGTACACAAATGTCTAATCCAAACATAGTTTCAATTAGATCAATTTTTTTTAATGTATTTAAAAAATTAAATAATTAGATTTTAACATATTTGTAGCAAATATTTGATATACTACTTACATTTCTTTTACTACATTTATGAAGCTGCTTAATTTTGTACATTATTGAAGAAAACTATTCATACCTTGACTGCAATAACAGCTCCCGAAGACTTATGAAACATTTTGACAACATGTCCGCAAGTGCCACTGCCTAATTCTCCTAGTTGTTGTAGTTCATCTATGTTGGATCTGTATTCCACTCCTTCTACATTTAGCTTACCACTCACCTAAAAAGTTTCATAAGTATTGTCTAAGCCTTAATGGTTAATTAAGGAATTAAATATATATTTACATGAATAATAGGAATTATAAACAAAGAAAGATTTAATCTTATGACAAAATGGCAAATGGCAATTTTCTTCTGTTAGTTGAAATCTAGAGCGATCGATGAAATCTTTAGCTTTAGATTAACTGTCAGCTAGCTATCCAGTTACGCGCAAACTAATAATATGCAAAATACGAAATCTCTTAGACATGTGTAAACTTCACTAATAACTGGCTACAGTAAATACCCTTGAAGTATTTACTCAATCAATTAACATATTGCGTATACCTTATAAACCTCGCGCATCCTGTGTTCAGTGTCAGTGGCCTGAGGTGACCTTGGGGGGAATGCTGGTATGTCTCTGGTAGAGAACATGGGTGCTGTAATAACAATGTAAGAACAGATTAGCACATTGAAATTGTTAACTTGTGTGTAAATTAATGATAAACAAACTGTTTGATAAATTAATTTATAATAATGCTTACATACATGTTTATTTACTAAAGTATAAACTTGTATGTCAGATGTAATATATTTCAAAATTCTAAAGCTATAACCATTTTTTTTACCGAAACTGATGGGTACTTATAAAATAAGCATCACAAGACTCCTTATGTTTAAATAGTAGATCTGACTTAATGTTAATTTTATTTGGAAAATAACTATTTGTGTAGTCAATAAAATAAATTTAAATTGTGAATATACAAAATAGTACTTTAACAAATATTGTGTATGAATACATATAAATTAAAAAATATCCTAAAAATAATATCCTGATATAGCTATTTGGTCAGTTTGGTATCTAAGAAAGATTAAAAATATATTCAATTAAATAAATTGAACAACTTGATAAAGAAAACTGAAATTATTGTACAAAAATTATTGCATTTCTATGTGACAACTTCAATGTGAATGTAGTCCTTGAATTTTATGTAGATCATTCATTTGAAAAAATATACAAAAAAAAAGATGTACATTATATATTAAGTTAGTCTTAGTTTGTTTATCTTACTAACCTACTACTTGAATAAAAGCTTTAATGTTTAGTACACAAAAACTGTATAATATTTTTATGTTAAATTTAAAATTCATTAATATTTGTCTTCATGACTTATTCATTGTTAAGGGTAGTAATTAAGTATTTTAATAAATGTAACAATGTACTAGGCACTGAAGAGGTAAGTGTATACTGTACATGATGCTAATTGAAAGATCTTCAATGCCAAACTATACCAATATTATTATCTAAATGTGCTGCTTAGGCATAAGTACTTGAGTGCGAAATGATAACCTAAATTTGTATACAATAAACACAGTTAATATCAATTTCCATTTCTCGATAATCATTAATAGCAGCAGCACGATATTCATAACAAAACAATCGCTTGGCAAAATTACTTATGCGAAGGCAAGACCGGTTCAATATTCTTGTTAGTCAACATTTTTATAAACATGAACACTTACGAGGTCTAGGCCTCCGGGTCTGGCCCCCAGCTCTGGCAGCTCCAAGACCACCTTGGTTGTGGATTGCATCCTCTCTTCGGACACGCAATTCATTTTCAAAGCGTTCTTGTAATACTTTAAGTTTCCCTTCAAGTGAAGTATTTGACATTATAAAATGAAAAATAACACTTTAATTACATCTAAACACCCTTTTTTATACATTTAACAAATTATTTACACAAAAAAAGTCTAAGTAAAGCAGTCAAAAAATTTCTTTCATGAAAGCAAGTACCAATTTACCATAGATGATATACGAATATAATAGTATAGAGACTACTCACTCAGCAGTCAGCATCAGTAGTGATAGTAGGATATAATATATTTGTTATTTTTATTGACGTGTAAATACTTAAGTATAATAATATAATAATTTGGACAACTTTAGTAAAAACATATTTTAATGAAAGGAGTTAGTTGTACGTGTAACATCATGTAATAAGATGAAACACCATACTTTCCAATAACAACCTGCAATTAGCCGCACGATGACTGTCTGTGGGCCCACCGTGTACCGCAGTAAGTTGTCAGCTAACTGTCGCTGTCAAACGTTATTGTCAATTTAATATATTTGATTTTCGTCATTTTACGATTTTCATTCGCTATATTTATTGGTTTCTAAAATAACGTTGTTACGATTAGCTACTGCAAGTCGATATTGCAGTTCTCGAATATTGTTTATTCCGCCTATATCTCCACAATTATTTTTAATTTTAGTTTTACCTTTATTTCAAATGTTATATTCAGGTGAATGAGTAGGTACTTGATACTCAATAACTTCTTTGTGTGAACTGAGTGTTTCCTGTGTTCAAATATGAAATGCGAAAGTTATTAGGTTTATGCACAATGTTTCACTATTAAGGTGTAGTGAAATCTTCAAAATGATGCAGTTACCTGCAGACGGCTGCATGAATATCGCTGAACTGGCGAATCAATTACGTCGTGAAAAAATCTTTATTAATTCAGAGCGACAATTGTTGCAAAATCTTAATGAAGAGTTGGAAAAGAGTGCTTTAGAATTACTACAACAATCTTGGATTTGCTCACAACAGAGACAAAATCTTACAAACTTGATAACATCAAGATGTGAAGCAGATTCTGTAGCAGCATGTCAAAGGGCTAGTTTACTTGAAGGAACAACTTTTATAGATGTTTTTAAAGTCTTAAAATACAAAGTAAGTACTACTAAAGAAAAATTTTGATGGAGTAATAATTTTGATTTGATTTATTAATCACAACAGATACTACCTTTGTTCACTGATCCACCCACTTTTCTGTAATAAAACTATTATTAATTGTTCATGGAAAGTTAAATTACTTTTCTTTAATGTATATGATGCTAAGAATTAATTCAATCAATTGAAATTTAAAAAAATATTCAGTCCTCAAATTCCAGTTTAAGTTTTAGTTTAGGATTATTTTAAGATATCAATATTTTAAGGAAAAGGTCATCTATGCTCATTATTATACTACATATACATAAAACTATATTTGATATGAATGGTCGAGATGTGCACTAATCAAACTCAAAAATATGATGACCATAATGGAGTCTATAGAATAGCATTCATTATATTTTGACTCTTTATCCTTAGCTTTAGAACTTAATCTAAGATCAAAATAGGCACATGCCAAGCTTTAGTTTGGGAGATAGACACTAGCTATCTCCCAAACTAAATTTTAATTATATAATAGTATGGCACCAACATATTTCGACATGTCTGACTGTTTCTACAATTACATTTTTTATATTGATTATAAGGAGGCCTTGACCCTTGGTGAGCTACTAGGATGGCTTCGAGATACTCCACATCTGATGGCATTATGTCTGATGCTTGGAGAAGATCAAATGCCAGCATCACTGCCATCATTATTAGTGTCTGGCTTATATGGAAGTTGTAGATCTGGGCCTGACCGAACGCGATTCCTTGCTGTTGTTCGGTCACTTATAAAATATCAGTTGGCACCATCTACTGATCCCAGAAAGTAAGTAGAAATCTTTTTGTTGTATTTTTCTCTCCAAAATAATCTACATTTCAAATGGATTTTTAATTTTATGTCTGAACATAGGTATGCCCCTAGCACATTTGAAAGAAACACAAGCCTCGATTGGTTTTGCATTTATATAAAATATTATAAATGAGACATGATGCTTAAGACAAATCTACGACAAGAATTTAAAAAATCTCTTACTATATAAAGATACGATGAATTACCTTGCATATTAATTGAACAATTTGCAAATGACGTAATATGTTACTAGATTAATTGTGGAAGTAATCATCTGTGACACTGATGAACAACGTTCATTCGACTGGAATAGGCTTCCGGAATGTGTAGTCAGTGCACCATCTTTAAACACCTTTAAAAATAGATTGGATAGTTTCTCCAAATCACAAAATACTCGCGCATCAGCTTATTAAAAGCTGCCAGTGTGTTAAGATACAAATAATAATAAATATATCAATTCCAAAATCTGTATCTCCATGTATCGGTATTTAATAATGAAAAATAAGTAAAATAGTTCGAAAATGATTTCTTAATTAATAATTAAGTTGTATTGTTTAATATGATCGATATTACTTAAAAAGATTAGCATACATAAAATCGTCTCTTGGAAGCATAAAATTTAACACTGCCCATGATCAATTACGTTTAGTGCTGGTGTATAATTCTAGAAGTATAATTTATATCTGACATGTGAGTATCTATGGGTAAAGATGGCAATCGGAGTGTGTTTGTTAGTTATAAACGAAAAGATATTTTTGAAGTTATACTTCTTTTGGCGCGTTATGAAAAATTGATAAGAGTGAAATTATACGATGCGCGCGCACCTGAGACACAAAGTTGTCAGTGTGATTATAGCGTGCGCGAGCGAGATGGGAATAAGACAATCTACAAGTAAAAAGAAATAGAATATGCGTGAAGTTAGCAGCTATGCCAAGAATTTTGAATGACCATAATGACATTTACCTTTTAAACAAATAAAGGAGTTTTAATTATTTTTTCAAAGAAATTTAGCAATGCTTTTTCACAAAGACCTATTGTTATTTAGTCAAAAGGTTATGAAACATACCTAGTTATTAAATTGAATGAATAATATAATAAAATAATAAATAATAATAATTATTATTATTAATTAATAATTGAATAATATACTAAATATTGAATATTATTAAATTATTAACGTTAAATATTTATTATTAATTATTTAATATTTTTAAAAATAAAGAAAGCCAAAGAAGTATAACTTCTTACGCGCGTACATAAGTACACGCACCCTTTTTTTTTATTTACATCGATGTTTACATGAGACTATTATTGACTGACCTTTGCAAGACATCTTTCGCATTTATTTTTGCATAGGTGATAATTTAATCTATCATTTATTAATGATAATTTAATGAACAATCGTATCTAACCGCAGTTCGTTCGTTACGTAGTTAATGATGAAAGTGTGTGATTTATAAATCTTCACTTTCTAGGAAGTCGTCGATAGATATATAGCTGTAATTGCATTTTAATGATGCTCTTCCGTAGTAACAAGAACTGAAGTGCGTTTTGGATGCCATTACTATATATGCTTTACTAAGGAACAAAGCCAATGCGTTTAAACCGCAAATGGAAGTCCCGTATACTTATTGATGCAAATATTAAAACATAAAATAAATCAGTGGCGATTTTTGTATCTGTTTCATGATCATTTGTCAACCTAATAGGCAAGTAGGTGATCGGCCTCCTGTGCCTAACACACGCCGTCGACTTTTTGAGTCTAAGGCAGACCGGTTTCCTCACGATGTTTTCCTTCACCGTTCGAGCGAAAGAAATAAAGAAAGTCCATTGGTGCACAGCCGGGAATCGAACCTATGACCTCAGCGATGAGAGTCGCACGCTGAGGGCACTAGGCCAACACTGCTGATGCAAATATATGGAATATATAATTCGTTACTAACAGTTACAATTGTACTTTGACAGGCATGAGACTGATGAGAAATCATAGACATTGTATTGTATCAGGTTACAATAATTAAACAGTACAGTGTTCACGATATGAAATTAAATTTACATTTGATCTGATCTGTTGTGACATAATTTCTTATACAAATAAAAATAATTAATATAATTTTACGAAGACGGGTTAAATAATTTTAAAAATGACTTTTAATATAATTAAAATGCTAAATAACTTTCATAGCTGATCGGTAGCAGCTATATTATGCCTAAGTGACATTAACTATAGTGACGTAGTCGCTAAACGCATGAACGGCGAAATAAAAACATAAACTAAAACAGACCGTTATCCCATAGATTGTTCCGTACAAACAAATGCGCGCTTTCTGCAATATACGCGGTGTACCGGGATGGCCATACGCCAGCGAGGCAGTTCCTCATCACGGCACTCCAAGGACCAGTAATGGCTGTCCTACATGAAGATGAATTCTTTTTGGACGCTGATCCTGATAAGGCACTGGAGAGGTATGTTTGTTGACAGATGTGAGAGCGCTTTGAATTGTCTTTGAATATTATATTTGTTTTTATTAAGAAAATATTTTTTCCTTGTATAGGTTTACTCTGTCGGATCGTATCAAGAAATTCGGTCAGCCGAACAGCAGTGAATATCAAGCTAAAGTGGCCAGATACCGAAAATGGACTGTTCAGGCACTGTACAACCTCACCACCAAGTTTATAGTAGCGTTGCGAGAGTACTGGCCGAACTTTCCGACTACAATCGCCTGGATCGTGCAGCAGATTGTGCATCTGTTGAAGCAACATTCGAGGTAAAACTTGTGATTAAAATCATGAACATTCCACTTTAGTTTATGTGGAACATGTGCAAATGTGTAGCCCGCTTTTTTCCTTATTTACACACACAAGTGTACGATTACTATATCTGTATACTTGTGTGTGTAAATTAATGTGGTTTGATATAATAACATACTCTTTACGCACAAAAATCCACTTATAATTAAATTCGCTATTAATTACTTTAAGTTTAGAACCACAGTTCATATTCTATTATTAATAGGTAAGAAAAAATCTGTTTATATTTAAAAATCCTGGTCTTACCCTATCTTTATTAATAAGTCTCAATAAAAAATAACCGTTTTAACT